ACCTGTGTGAGTTGGTCTACTGTAGGCCCATATTTCTGTATGGCACAAGAGCCATTAGCCTGGTCTGAGGTGGTCACGAACTCTGCAGACAAGCTGTCTCTGTTTAACAATAGCCAGGATGTGCTGCTCCTAGTTTCTTTTGTTATAAATGTAGATCTCCTGAGAAGAGGTGTTGGCTGAAGCTGGTCAGGATGTTTTGGTGCTTATTTCTTGGTAGTTTGGAGGAAGCCTTATAGAGATGCTATTTCATGGCCTACCTGACTGCTAGCATACAGGTAAATGTGGACATGACTTGAGCCCATGCACCTGGTTGCCTAGGAGACAGCCTAATGTGTTTTCCCGCTCAATTGATGTGATGATATATAAGGTGTTTGGAGAATAAACGAGAGATCTTTGGAGAGAGATCTTGCCCTTCCATGATGACCGTGTAAGCTGCGTCGGTTTTATTCCTTGCGACTCCATTCCAGTCCAGTTAGGGAATCTGTGTGGGACCCACACAGCCTCCAACAGTTTACGGGGTGTTTCATACTTTGATGAGTCACAAAAGCCCCGAAGTCAAACAAATGGCTCTGCACCACAATTATCAGCCAACGATGCTCCTAAGTTATTCAGAAAGACACAAACTGAGTCCCAGGAACTTGCACAAAAGAGGCACCCTCGTTACACACATGATAAGAAAGCATGTGTTCAGCCTCCAGAGGATGCTCGCCTCAAGTGCCAGAACGGATCTGTGCAAGAGCACATTCCGAAAGCCTGTCGGAGATGCAGGTCTCAGCCAGTGACATGGCTCAGTGGGAAAGTGTGACAGGCCAGCTTAACCAGGGCCCAACGGGACAGAGCCTCAGGAATAGGTGGGTAAGGAGTTGGCGAATGACAAACAGACACAAGACGCAAAGGAATTGCATCTGAATGCGTCTTTACTAAGCATGAGGCTCATTCTTTATACAGAAAAGATTGCTTAACAGCATGTATTGTTTTTTCATGTGGTACAGATTGTTCTTAGAATCATTATATCAGATACATGTGAATAGATTTTCATCAGACAGATGTCCCCGGAGTGAGTCTGTGGTTGGTCATGCTAGGCATGGCTTGGCATTATTTCGATATAAATCTTTATCTAGGCTACGAGTTCATGGCATTTTGAGCTAAGGGCAAGCAGTTGTGGTTAACAGTCACACAGTCTACAGGCTTTTTCTATTTCTGCCATCTATGCAGAAGAACTTCTTCTTTCCTTCTCCATATTTCTAACTCCGTTCCAAACCTTCCCAAAACCAATCTCAAGAAGTTACAGGCATTTATCTCTCTCTTCCGTCCTTATCCCATTTTTGCTGAATCTGTCTTAATTGCTTAATTAAGTTTGCCTTTTGTTCTTCATTTACTAAGCCCCAGATTAAACTTGGAAACCTTTTCCCCTTGAATATTAGCCCATCTTCCTTCATTAGCATCATATAGTCCTGTATATAGCAATATCTCATCAGTAGACTCTGGAAACTTAAACATCCTATCTTCCCTTCCAGAAGAAACCAGACTGCGTTCCTTGGAACATAAGCAGGTAATGCCAAAGATGCAAGGGCTCCAATGCAGGAAGCACAGCACACACACCTTCTCTGCGGGCACTCTTCCTTGAAGCTTGTGCACATCCTACGTGAGAGATCACGTAGACTCCGCAGGAGGTGGTGAGACAAGAAAGGTGCTTGCCACCCGGTCCAGCAACTTGATCTAAATCCCAGGGACCCACTATGGTGGAAGGAGAGAACCATCCATCTGTTCTATGACCTCCATATGCACAATGTGGCGTGTGTGTGACCACACTCATGTAAATAAATGAAAAAACAAGACTTTTCACACTTCTTTTTTAATAAATGCGGACTCTCCAACCATATGGACCAATCACATGGACCGATCAGAATCTTCACTTTATCAAGACTGACAGCTAAACTACAAACTACTCAGCCTGAGGGAGAGATGGACCAGTCTTAATTAAACAAAGCCCAGGCCGTGACAATAGGTGCACCTCTGTTCTGAAGCTACCCAGGATGTGACTCCTACCCTCCACAGTCCTCTAGGAATGGCTCCACTTTCTTCATTTCTACAAAAGGACAAGAAGCTGTGACAAGTCCCCCCATCTCCACCCACTCTTCCAGACACGGCCGCAGTGCCTGAGCTCGGGGTACGCATGAGCTGAAGAAACATAGATTCCTCAAGAGCTGCTATTGAAGCCACGAGCAGCATGTGCCAATGTCCCCCCACAATCCCGCTTCAGTCTCCAGGAGCCACACATCTGGCTGTCACATACTCTTTTGTGGGGCCATCTCAAAGGCTGAACTGATGCTGCCTCTCCCCGGGGCCAGTCCCACAGTGGCCTCCCTGTCCTCCCAGCATGTGATGTCATGAGCACGAATGTCCTGCCAAACATTTAAGAGGCTGCAGCTCATTGTGTACATTGTATAGAGAAACACTGACACACAGATTATTTCTAATTAAAACAAGAAAAGAGGCATGACGAGACAGAGCCGGACCTTGTTCTATTGTTCCACCAGGCCACCGAGGCAGCGCGGGTGTGTAACTTGCATTCTCCAAGCTCACAGGCTTCTCCTTTTGTTCCCAGTCTTGTCGCCAGCATCTCCAAACCCAGCGCTTCCCTGGAAACGCTCTCGGCTTTAATGTGGTTCCTATTGAGTTCTTGGAAAGCATGAACAGAACCGGTTTCTTTGCAGTGCTAAGATCCCTCCACGCTGTCTGTTCAGAACAGGCTGCAGAAGTGATGGTCTTACCCTCAAAATCATCCTGTCTCTAATGACCAGCAAAGAGGGGACAAAGGGCAGGATTTCTGCACCGCAGAACAACAGGAGTAAACTGTTTTCAATCCACTGTTCCTCAGAGTGTCCTACAGAGGCAACCCAGCGGAGTGGCCACAGTGCACACCCAAAAACACCCACACACTTGGCTCTGGACTCAGATCCACTGAGTGAGTGTTTAGGGGAGAAGAAAGTGAACACCTGACCCCTTGAGTGAAGGGGTCGAAAGGTGAAGACTTATGCTTAAATAGGCAAATCCCTGTCGGTCCTGTACAGGTACCTGACCTTCACAAACCACATAAAGAGCAGCCATTGGGAGGATTAAAGATGGAAAACTCCTGCAGAGCCGGGTCTCAAGAGCTTGGATTCCTCCTCCCTGTGGTTTAGGTAGACGGTGTGTTGAGGCTGTCATTTGGGGTGTGTTTTTGGGAGTCACTGTCTCCACATGAATTAAGATTTACTATGACCATTCAAAAAGTGTATTGGCCACATTCTTTCTAATGGAACTCACGGAGAGCAGATAAAGTGAATCCCTCTTGGGATTACAGAGTCAGAACCTATTAGTAGACCTTTTCTGCATAAGTAACTTAGAAATCATTTCTACCATGATATTTGGGCATGGGCATTTCCAGAGAGACTTTGTCCATCTGAAGGATACACTATACTAGATAACAAAATTAGTGTTTTTAGTCTGTGCACGCGTGCGTGTGTGTGTGTGCATGCGTGTGTGTGTGTGTGTGTGTGTAAGCCAACCAAGGGTTAAAGCCAGGCATCTCCCCCAAACCACTCGTACTTTTTGCTGTTGTTTTTTGTTTATTTTATTTTGTTTCTGTTTGAGATAGGGTCTTTCTATGTAGCCCTGGCTGTCTTGAAACTCACTTTGCAGATGGAGATGGACTCACAGATATCCATCCCCCAACTCTGCCTCCCAAATTCTGAGATTAAAGGCATGGAGCCAGGTGGTGGCACATGAGGCAGATTCAAGTGAATCTCTGTGAGCTGGAGGCCAGCCTGGTCTACAGAGTGAATACCAGGATAGCCAGGGCTGCACAAAGAAACCTTGTCTCAAGGAAGGAAAGGGGGGGAAAAGGCATGAACTTCCATGTTTGGCTCAATATCTTTTTCCTTTTCTCTCTCTCTCTTTTTTTTTTTTAAAGAAGATCTCTCACTGAACCTGGAGTTTCTAGACTCCCCATGGATCTTCCTGACTTCACAGCACATAACACACACACACAGAGAGAGAGAGAGAGAGAGAGAGAGAGAGAGAGAGAGAGAGAGAGAGAGAGAGGAGAGCTAGCACTGGGGCTGACTGTAACTGAACTGTATCGTTCCCTGTACTTAAGCAGCGAGCCCTTTACCAACAGAGCCAACTCTCCAACCCCAAATGATTCGTTCTTAGCTTGGTGATCAGAAATTAATTTGTTGAGCTTTGCTTTGTTTGTTTCTGCTTTATTTTTAATCAGATAATACTCTATAAACAACAGAAGACTGAAGACCAGTTTGGGAGACACTTGGTTATTTTATTGCACAGATTTTACCTGAACAAAATGCACCAACCCTGTTTGGGGTGTCCAGAGTCTCCGATATTGATAGACCATCAGTGCTTACACCCAGGAAGCCAAATCCAACAGTACAATTTATGTTAAACAACATTGCTTCAAGATCGCTAGCAGAATGGAGACAGGGACAGAGGGGGAGAAAAGCTTTTACAATGTGTTAACTGTGAAGCACGCACAACTGGAGAATTAAGAACCACAGCATACAAACCTGGAAATGGTGGCTGGTCAGTTAAAGTTACACTCTTCTCACTACTACTTACTGCATATTAAAGTCTGCTTGGTTCATTTCCTTCATACTGGTGAGTTGAGAATTTCAGGAAACGCATGGTTATAAAAATGATCAATCTTGAAAAAGTACATACAGAGAAATGTAAAATCACCAATTGAGGAAGAGCCCCAACCCCACCCTTATAAAAAGGAAGCACTTTCCCAGAGAGAGCGCTCCAAAGTCCCGCCCATTTGTGTTCCCAAGTCTGTCTCTTCTAACGCTTCTGTGTAAGTGACCTTGAAACTGAAGAGGGGGGGGGGGAAACAGAGAGGTGTCTTTGTGAGCCTCCCATTGTCATCGGTAACCGTCTGAAAAGTGTCTTTTATTTCTCATCCAATCCACACCCAAGTCAGCTATGTTTCCAAGACATTTGAATTTAAGAGAGAAACAAATATTTTTTTATTCAACAACAGTGGAATGCCCAAGGAAAGAGCTAACAGCGGGCAACACCAGGAGAAAACTATGTGGGCATTATCTGAGCTAGAGATTTCTTCTAAGAACCGAGAAGTGGTGGGGTGGGTGGGGTGGGTGGGGTGTTAAGACTGCTAACCACCAGGCAGGATACTTTCTAGACCTTTGGCTTTAGTGCCTGGCAGAGAAGTGGGCTTCTCCCCACTGTGGCGAGCAAACCCAGGGCCCCAGGCCCAGCATCTACAGCACCTCGGTGGGCAGTGGAGCAGCCCTCTTAGACGTGGGCACTCTTGGCATGCGTGGGCGAGCTGGAGCCAGAGGAGTAATAGAAACGGTTTTCTCCAAATGACTGTGCATCCCCGGAGCAGCAGACGATGACACAGCCACCCACCAGGCACATCACGGCACCGATCCAGCCTGCATACAGCGAGTAGCCAAAGCTCACGATGGTGATCTCACGGTGGGCACATACGGGGAACCAGATGGTGGCCACAATGGCACAGAGAGCTGGGGAGACAGGGAGAGAGGGTGACTGGGCACATCCGTCTTGCACCAAGTGCACTGGGTAGGCAAGTTCACTCCACAGACACGCCCCTTTCAATCAACTACAAAAACACCGATACTAACCAAGCAGCACACGCCTTTAATCCCAGCACTTGGGAGGCAGAGGCAGGCTGATCTCTGTGAGTTTGAGGCCAGCCTGGTCTACGAGAGCTAATGCCAGGACAGGCTCCAAAAGCTACAGAGAAATCCTGTCTCGAAAAATAATAAATAGAATAATAAGAAGAAG